CGGCCGCCGGCCCCCTGCCCGCTCCAGCACACAGCGCCAGTGAACTTCTGCTGGGGTAGCACGAAGGTGTAGGCACAGCGCGGAGCACCGGCCCGCGCACACGACGCGCCCAGCAGGAGCAGTAGCTGCAACGTACGCTGCCCAGGCGCCCACATGGCGGACCTGCAGGCAGAAGATGAACAGGAAGAAGGGAGGGACCCAGGAACCCAGACCCGACACCCAAATCTCAGCCTGAGCCAAACCCAGCTGCTCCCACGTGGGAATGCACGTGCCTACACCTCCGTGGCTCTGAGTCCACACACTCCCGCCTCCATTTCCCACCCACCCACCCAAAGCTGTAAACGACCCAATGGGCTCCCTCCCTGGCCTCTCCACTGAGTGCTAGACGCCTCAGATGCCGTGCTGGACATCATGTCTCGTGCATTCATTCGGCAAGCATACACTGAGTGCTTACTGTGTGCCGGCCTCAGTTCTGGGAGCTGGGAATACAGACGGGAACAAAAAAAAAACAAAATCCTTGCTCACCAGGAACAAAATAAAGTATAAGATTAATAAAGTATTAGACAGCACTAAGTACTAAAAATAGTTAAAGAGTGGAAAGACATGGGTATCTGTGCGGGGGTAATTTGAGAGGAGGGAAGACCTCCTGGAGGAGGTGACATTTGAAGAAAGACCTGAAGGAGGTGAGGAAGGAAGCCATGGGGATGTCTAGGGAAGAAGAGCAGCCCTGGCAGGGGGAACAGCAAGTGCAAAGGCCTTGAGGTTGGACCATACTTGATGTATTAAAGAAACCCAGGAGGCGGTGGGGGGGGGAGGGCAAGTCTCACTAACTCAGTCTAGTAGTGGACACCTCATCTCCCACCCCTCAGATCAAAACTCCGGAGTCATGCATGTCTTCTCTTTCTTCACAGCAGATCCAACCCGTCAGGCAAGCCTGCCAGCTCTTCTGTTTAGACCCTGAATTCCTCCACATGCCCCCATCCTCACCCCCACATTATCCCAGCTCAAGACAACAGCTGGATTTCCTTACAGCAGCTGCATCCTAGGTCTCCAGTCTTATGTCCTCAGCTTCTGGTCTGTTTCTCCCCCAGTGGCCAGAAGATGCCTGTGAACACCCAAGTCAGGTTACGTCCCACCTCTGCTCAGGACCTCCATGGCTCCCACCTCCCTCTGGGTAAAAGCCCAAGTCCTCCCCGAAGGCCTCAAGGCCTCGCATGCTGTGCTGTCCCCTCTCTGCCCTCACTTCTTCCCACTTGTCCCTTGCTCTCTCTGCTCCAGGCACCCTGGCCTCCAGGCACCTTGCTGTTTCTCAAACATACCTGGCATCCTCCTGCCTCAGAGTCTTTGCATGTGCTCTTTTCTCAACCTGGAACATCCTTCCCCGAATTTTAACATGGCTCCCCTGCTCTCTTTACTCAGGTCTCGGCTCAGCTGTCCCCTCCTCAGAAGCCCTCCCTGTCTACCCCATTTAGAGTTTCCCCTGCTGGGCACTCCCTATACAGTCCATCTTTTTCATTTTGGCATTATCACTCTCTGAAATTGCCTCGTTTACTTGCCATTGCTTATTATCTGAACTCCTTTACCGAAATATCAACCCAGAGGCTGAGTCTGGGTTGTGTTCAGTGCCTGGTGCCACAGACCCCCAACGTCCACATGCCCCAGGTCTGCTGTGCCCCCCAGGTGTTCCCTAACTCACACAGATGACTTCCTACAAGTGTCCTCGCTCGAAAGTGTGTCGTTATAGCCACCTACCCCTCACCCTGTAGGGTCCATATATGGGCCCCCATTGCCTTCATTCTTGGGGTTCACAGCCTCTCACATGGGGACACATATGCCTCCCACATATACTTGCTGGCACGCAGAACGCATCTCACATGTCCCCACATCACCCCATCTGTACCAAGTTTCACTATGTCCTAACCTACACATCCTGGTGGCCACACAGGCACATGTCCTGTGGTCTTCATCATCACACACATTCCCTCATTCACATATTCAACAAACAATCCTTGAGCACCTATTGTATGCCAAGAGCTATTCCAGGTGATGGGGACACAGCCATGACCAACACAGACAAAATCTCTGCCCCTGCAGAGCTGACATCCTGGTTGGGAAAATGGACAGTGGATAGGTCAGGGCAACAAGTGCTTAAGAGAAAACTCAAGCAGGGAAGAGGGTGGGAGTCCTGGGCTGGGGGAATATTTTAAATAGAGGGGCTGGGCCTCTATTTAAAGAGAAGACCTGAAGGAAGAGAGAGGCAGCAGGAACAGCAAGTGCAAAGGCCCTGAGGTAGGACCTTGCTTAATGTACCCAAGGAATAGCAGAGAGACCTTTGAGGCTGGAACAGAGTGAGTGAGGAGGAAAGTGGGAGGAGGTGAGGGCAGGAAGGTGAGGGGACGAAGTGTGCAGGCTCTGAGGGCCTCAAGGAGGACTTGGGCTTTTAATCTGAGTCATGTGGGAAGTAAGGAGTGGATTATGAGCTAGAAAAAAGGACATACACAACTGAACCCACACATCAAGCAGGAGCTCCTAAGGGCAGAGTGGGGTCCTCTCCTTGACCCCCAAAGACACCAGGACCCCCACAATAGAAATGGACCACATCCGCTGGAGGTAGCGTGTGTAACACCTCAAGATCTCAGCCTGGGATGAAGAGGAGGCCTGAGAAGCCTCCCAGACAAGCAGATGCCCAGGTCTCCAAACTGACAGAATCAGCCTTCGCCTGCCCTCCCACCCTCCTGCCCTCTCACCTCTCACGACTAAGACTCTGAATCCAGCCGGGCTCGCAGCAGGCACACAAGTCCAAGGAGGAGCCGAGGGTCCAGCAGGGGCCGCTGAACTAGAGAAAGGGAGGGGCCAGTGGGAGAGCAGGAGGAAGGAGGCTTGGTAACCACCCCCTGCCCGGCCCTCCAGAGCCTGGGACTGGAGCCGGGATGCTGAGCCCAGGAGCCCCAACTGTAAATATTTAGGATTTCCCACATGAGAACTGATGCCGAATTGCCAGAACCCCCTGACCAGGCCACCAGAGCCAGATAACACAGGTCAGTGCCCTGGACATTACCCCCACAACAGAGCACAGAGCATGGGAGGCTGCAGGCCCTGGGGGGTGGGGGTGGGTGTATCGAAGCCCTAGACACAGACACACCCACACACCACAGAGGACAATGGCCAAAATCAGCAGCACCTATTGTGTGTCAAGCATGATTTTAAACTCTTTAAACCTTGTATTTCATTTAATCCTTACAATCTGATCTGGCTTCTGTGTGTAGCCTCATTTTAGAGCAGAGAAAACAGCCTCAGAGAGGGTGAGAGACTTGCCCACAGTCACACAGCCCGAAAGGGTTGACAATAGTATTTCACCCAGGTAGCCTGGCTCCAGAACTCACACACATATACCGTGACACCCGTGTGCACATAACAGTGCAGCACAAAGACACAGAGACACCCAACAAGACATACGAACAGCTGCACAAAGCAGCAAAGATAGATGAAATCTGTGTATGTGTGTGTGTGTCCATGGATTTGCCTGGCAGACACCTACATAGATCCATTTGCCAAAGACAACTGGAAACACAACAGATTCAGGAAGCAGTTGTGTGTTCAAAATATGGTCACACGCACACATCGCAACTTAAACATCCTGTGGGCTGAGTTTGTCTGTGCCTGTGTGTCAGACACACACGCACACTAGCAGGCACAGAGATGCAGACCAGGTATACAGTGAGACCCTGACACCCGCTCACCCCTACTCCCAGCACACTTTCCATTTGCCTCCCACACACACTGTCACATCTTCACACAGGTCAAGTCATGCAGTGACAGAAACAGGCGGAAGTAGCCATACAGCCAGTTCTCAGGGGGTACAAAGAAACTCACACAGAACCCCCAAGGGCACAGGCCTGGGGTCTCCAACCTGTGCGAAGGCTTTGCTGACCAGCAGTCTCCTTACCCAGTTCCGACTGTTCTGAACTGGTAACCCGAGTGGACTCCCGGGCTGAGAGAGGAAATGGTCGTCCCAGATCTGAGAGAGGCTGCCAGGCTGGGCTCCAGGCCTGGATTGAGCCCCCCACACTGGGCCCCTCGGCCCCCCACCCAGAGCCCCCTCCAGCTTCTCCCATTGGCAGCGGAGAGAGAAAAAAGCTCCTCAGTCACAGAGAAGGGCTGATAGAAGGGAGAGAGTCCGAGAGACAGAAGAAGGGGGAGAGACATGGGGGAAATGGGGAGAGACATGGGGAGTCTGGAGAGAGAGGATAAGAAAAATGGGGATAGGGTTGGAGAGAGAGGAGAAAGATGGAAACAGAGGGAAAAAAAAAAACAGACAACTGATGGAAGAAACAAAGTTGAAGAAGAAGGAGACAGGCATAGGGAGAAGACAGAGATAGGGAGGGGGAGACAGATGGAGAAGGGAGGCAGACAGAGGAAGGGAAGCAAATGGGACAGGGAGAGAGGTGTTAGGGGCGTTCATCCCCCCACCCCCAAGGTTCTGGGGAAGAAGCCGGAGGCCTGAGGCCAAGATTGGGGCTTTGAGCTGAAACCGGGAGAGGATGAATTTGTCATCAAGAGCCCATATTGCCCTAAGTTTCCAGAAGGTGATGTGGAGTTTCCATCCTCAGCCCGGCCGCAGACGGGGCCCCCAGGGAGGACATTTGGCCTTTAGAAGCTGGGGGCCCGAATGACTAAAGGCCTCCCAGCTCTACTCCCTTCTCTGGTTGCTCCCCAAGTGCCTGATGCCATTGTGCCAAACATTGTATGTACATTCTCTCTCTTAAGTAGCGGGTTAGAAGGTAAATGTTTATCATGCTCACTTTAGGATCCTTTAAGAGCCTCGGGGTGGGGAAAGTGGCTCTCAAAACTTACACCCCTGGCGGAAGTGGCCGAGGTGGGATTCGAACCCTCAACTCATTTCTTCGCGCCTCGCGGGCTCCTTGAGCCGCGCGGCTCCGCCCCGGTTCCCGTAGAAACAGGCGCTGGGTGTCTCCACAGCAATACCTCCAATAATTCCCCCCGCCCCCGCCGCAATCTGGTGCATAAACCCGCCTGGTGACGTCACCGCGCAGTGGCGCCTCACGTGATCACGTCACCGGTGCCGGAAGTGAGCGGCACGGCGCCG